TAGACAATGTAGACAATGTAGACAACGTGTCAACAATGTAAAATAATATAAATGACGTCTAATTCTAACGTCACACTTTCCTTTCCGAAAATTATTTTTATTTTATTATCGGTTTTCCTCATATTTATAATCAGTGAATGCTGATATCAAAGTGATAGGTATTAGCTACTTAGGTAGTAGTAATTTTGGATCTTTTTTTTAAATGTTCTAAAATGAGTTTATTGTTTACGCCACATGTAGACAATGTGTAGACAAATGCCCACGTAAACAATTCGAATTGTCTACGCGTAGACAATCAATTGTTTACGTTGACATTGTCTACAGGCACATCACTGGAACCTGGTTAACCGGTCGGTAAAACGTCGGTTGACAGCGGTTGACAACGATTGACAAGCAGTGATGTGCCTGTAGACAATGTCAACGTAAACAATTGATTGTCTACGTGTAGACAATTCAAATTGTTTACGTGGGCATTTGTCTACACATTGTCTACATGTGACGTAAACAATAAACTTATTTTAGAAAATTTAAAAAAAAGTTCCAAAATTACTACTACCTAAGCAGCTTTTACCTATCACTTTGATATCAGTATTCACAGATTATAAATATGAGGAAAACCGATAATAAAATAAAAATAATTTTTGAAAAGGAAAGTGTGAGGTTAGAATTAATCGTCATTTATATTATTTTACATTGTTGACACGTTGTCTACATTGTCTACATTGTCTACCATTGTCTACACGTAAAGTAGACAATGAAAGTCTACGTGTAGACGCACATCCCTGTTGACAAGTAATTGCTGAAAATGTCGGTTTCATACGGAACGCTTTTCCAATCGCAGAATCACCGCCGGTTGCCTTGGTGACATGTTTGACATAACCAACCGCGTTCCGTATAGACCGGTTTTTCAGGAACCAGACATTACCGAACGTCCGTAACCAAGGTTGGCAACGGAACCCAGCCTTGTCCTTTTCTGTTGCTCCCTGACATATGACGTTTTGGCAAGTTTTGTTATATTTACCCAATGCACTATAGCCAAAACTGGAATGCGCACACATTGCCATATCTGCCAAAAAAAATGAAGCCATGAAAGACAGATGCCACAAAGGGGAATGTTGTTTTTTTCTGTTGCTCGCTGACATATGACGTTTTGGAAAGTTTTGTCATATTTACCTTCACAGGTTTCATCAATTGGAATACGTGCTGGAAGCAATTTCCGCCATTTAACCTGATGAGTGCGACAAAAACAGGTATCCCCTCCGCAGCAGCGGCACTAGGCTTCACGTTCGTCAATATGTGATCGCATTCCAGTCTTTGGTTATAGTCACAGCCCCCTACATTTAATAAATAAATTTATAGTTCATTGTATTTACCTACAGTAGGCCGAGTTCAGAAATAACGCACAGGGTGCGAGTGCGATTTTATGGGTGTGCCTGAATTGGACAATTGGCCATTGGGCCCATATATAGCACCGTCTAGCATTTTTGAACAGCTAGGTCTTCGCACCGGTGTCACACTCACACTGGGTGTGTCATTCCTGAACTCGCCCCAGGTTTTGTCAATTGGAATACGTGTTGGAAGCAATTTCCGCCATTTAGGGCAGGTATTATAAAACTGCTTTGACAGTTAACTTGAAGTTAACTTGTTGAATTACATGTACCTATTTTCAGAAGTTAACTTTAAGTTAACTTTCAAAGTAAGTAGTTTTATAATACCCGCCCTTAACGTAATGAGTGCGTCAAAAACAGGCATCCCCTCCACAGCAGCGGCATTATGCCTCATTCCCACTTGCGCGAAATTCGCTCTTTTTGCGCGAAATTCGCTTTTTTTTTTACATTGCTTCGACAAGTTGACGTTTTATGCGTGTATCAAATCAAACGTCAAATTTTCGAAGCAATGGGTACATTCAGGCGGTCCCAGCGGCTTAGCTCAGCCTCTCAGAAGGAACTTTATTCTCGAAACCAAGAAACAGCGTTCTCATTGGAACGAAGGTTCTGTCTTTGTCGTCCGGCATAACACTGACAATGACAGAGCAATTGTTCTTATGAGAACGCTGTTCCTTGGTTTCGAGAATAGAGTCCTTGCTGAGTGGCTGAGCTTACAGTGGCTAAATAAACCTTTACATACCACTGATCTCAAAAATAAATGGATAAGCAAAGAACGCTTCTAATGCTGCTAATTTACGAGGTTATAATCTAAACAAAAACAACTGACTGGGACAGCGGTGAGCGTGCGCAGTAGATACATGTACTGTGTGTGTACAAAATCTGGCCGATGAAAATGAAGGAATTTCAAAATTTGGAACAGTTGTTCGAAAGATATGACACTGGCGCAGGCGTTAGGCTGTTCCGTTGCACAACTGTGCATAGAATATTGATCTCAAATTTTCGCACAAATTTTGCCAATCAAGCCGTATGAATTGTTTATCCATTTATTTTTTAGATCAGTGTTACATACAGTGGCGACAATAGAGGTCCCGCCGCCATCTTGTTCCCAACCTCTTGTTACTTTTAAATATTGATATATAAGATTAAAATAAAAAATTGAAATTGGACGTATTTGATGACCATTATTAGGTCCATCAAATACGTCTTTTCCATGATTTATGATGGATGTTCACCTAAATCCCATATATTCATATTTAAAAGTAACAAGAGGTTTGGAACAAGATGGCGGCGTTTTCAATATAAATATATGGGATTTTAGAACCAATCAAAAATGAGACAGCAATTGTCGTCACTGTGGGTAATAGAGTCACTGTAGCTGAGCTTAGCCGCTGGGATGACCGCCTGAATGTACCCAATGTCAAAAAAGAGCGAATTTCGCGCAAGTGAGAATTGAGCTTTAGGGTGGATTTTCATGCATCCGTTTGTCCGACGAAAGATGTCCGAAAAACATTTTATTCTGACATAATCGTATAAAAATATGTCAAAATAGAAGATTTTTCGGACATATTTCGTCGGAAAACGGATGCATGAAAATCCGGCCTTAAGCCTAGTACTCATAACTGCGAAATTCGCATTTTTTTGACATTGCGTTGACAATTTGACGGTTTATGCGTGTATCAAACGTCAAATTGTCGAAGCAATGTCAAAAAAATGCGAATTTCGCAGTTATGAGTACTAGGCTTGAGGCTTCACGTTCGTCCATGTGCGCATTCCAGTTTTTGGTTATAGGTAGTTCATTGTGGCCAGATGACTTCAACGTTCACCACAAGTCCACAGTCGTCAACTTCAGCATCAAAAGTTTTATGAAACGGCTAAATTAAATTCGAACAATAAATGGGATTGAGTTTGATATACTATAGTCGAAGAGTTCTGTTCTCACTCAAGTTCCAAGCAATCTGCTATTGTAACTTGAAATGTTCTCCATAAACATAGAATCATGTGTAAAATAGATACATCAAATATATCGATTTTAACGAAATTGGAATAGACGAACTTGAAAACCAAGTTAAAACCCTTTAAGCCTAGTACTCATAACTGCGAAATTCGCATTTTTTTGACATTGCGTTGATAATTTGACGTTTTATGCGTGTATCAGACGTCAAATTGTCGAAGCAATGTCAAAAAAATGCGGATTTCGCAGTTATGAGTACTAGGGTACTAGGCTTTACTGATGACACTACTCAAGAAAACATCATCAGGGGCGAGTTCAGGAATGACACACTCAGTGTGAGTGTGACACCGGTGCGACGCACTAGCCGTTCATAAATGCTATAGGCACACCGAGTGCGCGCACTCTGTGCCGTTCAGAAAGTACTTTGGGCGCGCTCCAGGTGTCGCACCGGTCACACCATAATTTTTTGGTGTGGCTGCGGTGTGATTGTGTCTTTATGTCAACAATGTCAACCATTTCTCCCATCTTAGACAAGGAAAGAGAGAGGACGCGTAACATCCTTTACCTGCACTAGCAGCTGGTTGTGACCGTTTGCCACCAAATAATGGCGACAATTTTTCATGGTGCCACTATGTGAATTTTACTTCAGACTAACATTTTTGTGATATTCAGCATGGTGGATTGCTAGCGTATGGCTGCAAAACCCGCAGAGAAAAAAAAGTCGACGGGATTACATTTAACAGGCAAAAAACAATATGCTTTAGAAAGCATATTGTTTTTTAACATAACCTAGAGGTTATGTTATGAAAAAAGCAGACATTTTTTGGTGGCAAACTGCTTCATTTTCACCTGCTGTGTTACGAGTCCCCTCTCTTTCCTTGTCTAAGCCTCCCATAATCTCAATAATCTCACCAAATATAAACAAAACACAAATAAGAATTAAAGTTTTTCCTTCAAATTAAAAAAATGAACAAAAAAAAAAGTAATCCTAATAGATTTTGTGAAATTTTTGAGGAGATGCTCGATTGGTCACACCAAGCGTTCAGAAATTCATACGAAAGTTGTCGCCTAAGAATTGTCATTTCAGTCACACCCATAAAACCGCACTTACACCCGGTGTGTTATTTCTGAACCCGCCCCAGAGGAAACATTCCTCCAGAGTCGCTCTCCTTTCCAGTGACGCACTTTAAGCACTTCTGAGCTGCTCTAGAGCGCTCGGGACTGTTTATAGGCGTTCCAGTGCATTTCGCGCAACTGAACTCTTTTTTCCTTTCCCCTGCCCTTTCAAACATTTGCAATATTATGGGTGCATCAAAAACACGACGCTTAAAGTAGGGTGCGTTCCAGTGACACAACAAGTTGCTTGGATCACCAAAGTGTGGAGCTACGGGTGTGGAGCACCTTAAAATTAGTCACTGGAAAGCGGCTCTGGAAGAGGAAATGGACTCATTAGTGGCTTTGTGGGTTAATTTCGTGAAAGTATTCGATATTTTCATGTTAGGAGCTGTCGTAGCTGTTAAAAAAATAATAGCAGAACGATGGAATTTAAACAAGTTGGAAGCAGATTTCTTATTTGTTTGTAGGTACAGTGTTAAATAATTCCAATAGATGGCGCTCAGTTTGGAGGGAAAAATCACTTTTCCAATTTTAAGGTTATGTTATCAACAATCAACATATTTTGAAAAATTGTTTTATTATTTTTTTGATTTAAATATTTGATCAAATAATTCATTCATAGAAAAAGAAAAATCATGAATAAAGTTTTGGGACAAATAGTGAGAAATCTATTCCGGCACGATCTGAAAAAATCACTAAACAACAATAATAGATTCGCCAGCACTTATAAGGCAGCCCTAATCGCCGAACACGACAAACCCTTGGAAATACGAGAAAAAAAACAGGTCAAACTAAGTTCCAATCAAGTTCGCGTGCAAGTTAGTTATTGCAGTGTTAATTCGGTGGATACCTATAAATTTAAACACGGGGGCGGAGAACTACCTTTTATACCTGGTTATGAGCTATCAGGCGAAGTTCTAGAAGTAGGGTCTGATGTACGCGGGGATAGAATTAGTGTTGGAGAGAAGGTGGTAGGGCTGAGCTTGGAGAATTTTGGCGGATTAGCTGAGGAATGTGTGGTAAAGAATTTATACCTACTAATAATTAGTTTTGCTTGATAGATATTTGACTGGGAATTAGGATATTACCCGGGATATTATTTATATTAATTATAATAGGTCTTTAGCAGCTTCTTATTCACAGAGTTTACAGAACATGCACAAGTTACTTACACTATAAAAATTGTAATATTAATTTCAACTTGAACAATAACTAAAAAAACACATTCTACTACGTTCACTCCTTGGTTCACTCACTTATAAAACCAATGGTATGAATAAATTTGTAATTAAATTTGGTCATAGAACACACAAATCAGTAGGTACCTACATCAAATAGGTAAGACAAGAACAAACACACTTTGTATAAATCAAAAAACCTACGATCATTTAAAGATTCTTCAAATGTGGTTGTTATAGTAACCCATCTTCTTATCGAATCAGCTAATTTATTATACAAGATTCAACCATAATGGAATAGTGTCCTTTCCGTAGCTTTTTTATTTTTTTTGCTCACATACTCTGTGACCTTGTATAGTTTTGGATGTTGCTGTTATAAAAGTTTGGGAAGCACAAATATGACAGCTGAAAAAAGCATTTCATGTATCATCAGAATCATACAAGGAATCATAGTTTAGTATTCCAAATAAATACTGTTCCACTGACAGCCAATTTAATGAGCGAAGCATGTTTTTAATTGATGGGTCCCTAGGTAGACACAAACTTATTCGCATGGCCTTATTTTGTTATTTGTGTAATCTCCCTTTCTCATTTTTATATTCCATACACAAGATGTTAGGCGCTAATGTAAGATGGCAAAATCAGTAGGTACATTATGAACCACTTTATGGCACTACTCTGGGTCAAAGATTGAATACCAAAAAAATTGATATTTCTGGAGATTTTATCGCCTATGTATGACACATTGTTCCTTAAATGTTAATTAAGTTCAACTCCAAGATACTTTATATATCTTCTCAACAACTTCAATAACAGTACTTATTCTCGATCATGATTTTCTACTGTAACTTAAATATATTAGTATTATACTGTTGGTCATTATGCTAATAACCCGAGCAATAACCCTAATTTTAGTTTTTGCTGCATTTGATTGAGGTAGATTTTTATTCCAACTGCAACACCAGTAGAATATTTTGCAGCTCTGTGTTGATGATATCAATCAGCTCTTTTAAATTATCTGAACAGAAATACAGTAAAGACGTTATTTTATTAGGTAACACGTGTAAAGCTGGATTTATACAGGAAATAAAATAAAAAATAACATAACAAATAAGCAAAATAAGAAATAAGGCGTTTATACAGAAAAATATAAAATAAAATTAGAAATATTTTGAGCCAAGCACCACGCGCCTGAACTGTCATCGGTCTAATCTAATCGACGTCGTGACATGCGCAAATAGCATTTTCATATAAAATAAAATAAGAAGTTAAAAGTTAACCAACTTTTTATTTTTGCTTATTTGTTATCTTATTTTATTTTTGTGTATAAACGACACCATGGGTTCTCATAAGGCCATCTTTTAATTTTATTTTATTTCTTATTTTATGTTACCTATTTTATTTCCTGTATAAACCCAGCTTAAATTGTTTTCTATTATACATATACTTAGATAAGTAGGATCAAACTTACCTTTAAAGCCAATTTTTAATCTTTTTAGATTGTTTTTAAATTGTTTTACCATATTGTATGTTGATGTTATTGCTCTTTTTATTTTCTTTGTTTGTTCTCTTGTTTCTTCATGTTAGCATAGATATGCATATAGGTTAGTATTTGCAGTAAGCCAGTAAGCACTCTTTTAATGTAACTACAAAATTTCTTGTGTTTTAAATGAGTATAAATAAATAAATAAATAAATAATTTACAGAGTATTCCAATCTAAAGCTACTAGAGCTAGGCCACTAACACCATATTTTTTTGAACTTTTTCTGCAACTTATCCCTATCAATGGTCTAGAAATCACGCCGAGAGTCTAAAAAGACTACTCCAATCATTAGATTTTTATCTTGCTCATCCTTCCTTTCATACAAAACATTTTGAACAGCAGTCTCGCAACTACATATGTGCCTTTCTAAAACCCGACTGGTTCATGTACAAAATATTATTTTTTGATATATAGTCAACTAATTGCTTATAAACAATCTTGTCGACCATTACTAACATGATGAGTGGTCTTAAATCACTCGATGTTGAATCATCATTCACTTTCGGTAAGTATGACCATCAAAATGTTTAATGCAGTTGGTACAGTACCAGTTTCTAGTAAATAGTTAACTAAATTTAATACTTTTATGTATGTTTTTTCCGAGGTTTTTTCTTATAAATTCTTCTGCTAGGACTGCTTTTATTGGGTAATTCAAAAACAACTTTTTCCAATTCGACAGAAGTTATCATGCCAAAATGTGGTAATAGATTTGAAGGTGTTGTTATTTTTTGTAAACATTCTGTTGTGCTGGTTATACCACTAATTTCTAATATTATATTGTCTATTACATAGTAATTGTGGGTCAGATATAATTTCATTGTTCATTTCTATTTCTATTAATTTGTTATCTTTTTTCTGTGGTAACAAAGGTTTTAATGTTTTCCACATTCTTTTTGTATCATTTTTGCAATAGTCTATCTTATTTCCAAGTTATTTCTTCTTTTTCTTGCAAATACTTGGTACAGCTTTATTTCGATGCTGCTTGTAAATTATCTTATTATCGTTGGATTTGTTTGTAATATTTATACCTAGGCTTGGTCCCTTTGATTTATTGCCTCACATGTCGGTGTTCGATTGCTATATCTTTTCTCGGTTCAACTTGATTTAGAACACTTAATGTGGTCGAAAAGAATGCGTCTTATTTGTCGTCCACGCCCGCATTCAAATACTGCCACTGTATAAAAGAAAGTTTCCAATTCAATTCATCAAAGTCTATTTTACCATAGGAAATAATTGACCTGTCACTTTTTTTTATCACTACTCGAGTGCACATGTAGAGCGATTTTTACTATACAGTGGTCTATCATTGGTGCTTCAATAACATTGACTCTGTCATCGATACCACCAATACTCTCCAAGTTGCAAAACGCCAAATCGATTATACTGCCTCCCAATCCCGGATTTTCAACTGTCTGCTAATCGCCCAAAACGTTTGTATGCCTAGAGATACTAGAACTTTGGAGACACCAAGTACTGAAACTATCTAAGAAGTCTGCGTTACTACTATCTGGAGAATGATAGATACCTACAAGTGTATGGTGTTTTTTTGGATTGATATGTCAGGTCAATACGTAGCAGCCAATAATTTTAACTAGTACAAACACTTCCTTTTTATTTAAATCTGGATGTCATTTCTTATATAGAATAAATAAAATGCCTCCTATCTGTCTGCTCTAACTATTTGGCCAATTTGATCAATAAAAACGTGATTTCCATTGCTAGCAACAATGAATACTAGAAGTTACTTTGAAAGACTTTTTTCATTTTTTTCTTTAAATCAACCAGAGCCACTCACAAGAATTACTAGCTGCAGATTCAATAATATAATACTAAGTATATTATTAGGATTAATTTTTACCTTTGGTGGCTTTGGTAGCTTCGAGGGCTAAAAATTGCAATTTGTTTATTGAAGGATGAGAACTGGATCAAGAACGACATCTTACATAATATATTATATCCTATACTCAAAGAAACAAAATAATGTAGCTGCAAAATTTAGTTAAAAATTACTTATTGACAAAATCAAGAGGTAAAGTATGTTTTTTTTTGGTGAAATGTTTTTAAATTAGTGCCCGGTTGTGAAAAATTAAAAAATATCTTTTTGAAATAAACTGTATGAATCCCTTTCTATAATAATACTTAATAATAATATTAGGTACCTTGCTCTCTCTCCCAGAATACATATTTATTAAAGCAATTATTTATTCTTCCTCTAGTTCATCAAATTTTTGTTTCAGTTGGACATAGACGATGTATTTAGGCTTCCAACAGAAGTAAGCGTCAAAGATGCGGCAGTCTTAGCTTATGGCCATTCAGTAGCTCTATACACCTTTTCAAAGCTATCAAACCTAAAGGAAAATGAAAAGGTAGTGATCACTGCCGGTCCTGCTGGTCTTGGCTTAGCAGCTGTGGATGTGGCTGCCAACATATACAAGGCAAAAGTAGGAATTCATATATTTTACTTATTTAAGCTTGAAATAATGTATTTTCAAAGGTTATCGGCGTGGTAGACACAGAAGAACGAGGTGAATTGTTGAGAGAACGAGGTGCCTTTACCACAGTACATTTTAGCCCCAAATTAACTAAAGAAGTTTTGAAGCAAACTGAAAACAAAGGAGCTAAAGTGGTTTATGACGCCGCTGGTGATCCTATGATGGAAACTATTGGAAATTGGTAAGTAAATTTTTGGTATCTCAAAGGAATTCGCAAAACTGATTTTTTTTAGTGTGGCTCTTGGTGGAAAAACTTTCTATGCTTCCCCATTCTTCCACAAAACAATACCAGCACCCATGCCACATACTTTTTCATCCATTGTTAGCTTAAAAGCTCTCAGAACCCAAAACAGAAATTTATATAAAACTTTGGTAAATGATACCCTTGAATTAGCAAACGAGGACTTAATAGGGGCACACATAAGTGCCGAATTTAGCCTTGATAAAATTAATGAGGCTTTAAAGTTTATTGATGATAGAAAGTGTACTGGAAAAATTTTGATTAAAGTTGAAAACTAATTGTTAATTGTACGTAATTTATTGCTGTTTTATAATATAATTTTTTTGCAAAGTATTGAAGTTTCTGTATGTTTTTGAAAGTAATTTTAGTCTGGTCAGGGGTTTCAAATGGCCAAATTTCTGTTCAAAACAATCCCGCTGTAACGATGCAATGAAAATTGCACAAGTCAAAAGAGTTTGCATTTTTTTAAACATCTTTTATGGTACATTGCAATACGGCGCGACGTCTATAACCCATCAGATGGTGAACGCAAGATGTGCATGGCTAAAAGTTGTTCCGAATCTAGGTCGATCGGAACGATTCGATCTTGTTTTTGTTATTGCATAGTTCTTTGATGGACAGAAATAGCAAGAATTGCTGCAATGAATGGTTTAGTGATAAAGCAAATTTGTGTCCTAATAGGTTTACTAAAGTTGTAGGTTGTAGGACAAAGTAAAGTAAAACAAATTCCTTTGCTGGCAAAAATCGTTGACGTTTTGAGTTTATCAATAAAGCTTTTTCATGGCTGTTTTTACATAAAGAAATTAGTTCACATCAAAATACCTGAACACAATTCGGCGTTATTAATGAAAACTTGTAGTACATAAGCTAATAAAAAAATTATTTTACCAAATAATGACAAACAATAAAAATACCAATTTGAACGAAAACGAAGTTGAAATCTGCTTTGCATACTATTCTTAGACGATAGGATACGTGTTTTACAAATCAACACATCAAAAAACCAGCTTAATTGTTATGTTGTCCAATTAAAGTTTTGCAATGGACGAGATTCATATTTTGAGATCTAGAACAAACGGCTGAACTACTATTGAATTATTTGCATATTATGCAATTATAAGCTGTGAATAACCATTCATTGATTAATTGCCTTACTTTTGATATTATTTCATTAAAATAAAACTAGAAATATAAAGGTTATATTTTAGGAATACAAATTTTTCTTAAATTCTAGACTATTCAATTTTGAAATGTAATTAAAGAGGAAACTAAGAAAGAAAAACCAATAATAATATTAAATTATATAATAGGTAACATCTTGTTAACCAACTAATTAGTTTTTCTTTACTAAAAAATAAAATTCCAATTAAAATACCTGTACGTACCCTGACTTGTGTGAAAGATTCCACCACATTAGTGATTGCTGCACACCGTGAGAAAATTTTATCTCTTTCCTAACTCCTGCCATATATTATTTAATGCAGAATTAATCTTAAAAAGGATTCGACCTTCGTTGGTTTAAGGTAAAATCGATTTTAATGAACTGTTATGATTATAAAGGTTTTTATTAACTTGTAAGCAGATGCTTTATTGCTTTAGCGAGTAATGTTTGAAAAAGCGCTGTTTTTGAACTGATTATATTCACCTAAACCTATTATTGCTAAATTAGTATCTTGAGAAAACATGTGTATAGATATAGTTTTTGTTTTTCGCTATGAATTTTGCTATTACATATCATTCAAGTTAGGGAAAATTTTACCTCGCAATAGTCCAGTGAATAATAAATGAACAGGAGAGAATTATCTAGTCGGAGTATGAAATACACTTTTTTGGAAAACAACTCACTCAAATAGTTTGCATCATCACAGGTAAATCAACTTCAAGAACAATGATGATAATAACTAATCCCACCTAGAAAAAGCGGACCTTCAGAGTACTCAATATAGGTACCTAACTATATAAAAAGGTATTTGAGCAAGGCGCCGGGTGCGGCTCCATTTTATTTATTGGATACCTAGTCTAGAATAACATAAAAACAACTCACGTCACCATAGAACTTTCAAGGCAGTGCCCTAACAAGATACATAACATAATCAATAGGTAGTGTTGGTAGTGGTTCCCAGAGTATTAAGGTCGAAAAAGTTCTATGTACAAAAATAAAACAAAATATTGTTTCAAGAAAATTTCTATTGTTATGATTTACAAACAATAGTTATCAAAATAATCGTTTACCAGCACTAAAGCATATCCAATAATCCTGAGAGTCCCATCAATCTTTTCTTTCAGATCATCCAGCTCAATTGCCTGCTCAGTCAATATTCTCTGTCGTTTGCTCAGCTCGTTCACAATATTATTCCATTTTCTTCTTGATTGTGCAGGCCGTCCAAGCAGATATTCTTCACTCATATTGGAGGTAGATTCTTCTCCGTGTCGAATAAAATCAGATAATTCCATGTTTGTGATTCTGATGGAACATTGAACCATTCTTCTCTCTTGTTGCAGATCTTTATACAGATCCAGTATCACATTAACTTGCGCTTGTATAATCTCGTCGTGGTGCATAAAAAAAAAAAAAAATGTCGAAAGAAATAGTTATTTTCAGGATCAGTCATAATGACGGAGATGATGGGCCTGTTCCGATTTGAACAAAAGAGGGTTCTAGAACGGTTCAAAATAATCGCACAATTTATCAATCAACAAAACAAATGTTTGAAAATATGGGGGATGATGTTTGCCAACCAATATGGCGGATAGTTGGTAACATATTTGTTTTTTTGGTCTGTTTTTGCCTTTTGGCTGGTTTCTGTGGTGATCAATAGGTTACTTTTTTCAAATATTTTGTATTTGCTTCAGATTTTTCTCGTTTGTAGTTTATTATCATAGAGGGAACAATCCGAAACCACAAAATGAGGACCATCAGTAATTACATTAATTAAAATTTAATAATGCTTCTAGAAAACGTTCGAACCTGAGGCATATTTTGATTGAAACAAAAATTTGTGTATCAAGTGGTTATAATAAAATTATTAAGTATGACTTAAGTGAAGCTACATAGGGTTTCTCGCGGTTAAAAGTTGGTAGAGTGACCGTGCGTACGTAAACATAGGTACAAGGCGGTTTATTGAACATAATATTCTGCTGCCTTTCGTTGTTGGTTTTATCGCGAGTCTTCTTGTCTTGATTTTCTTTCCTAATTTTATCTATTTTTTTTTAGAATTCGTCGCACATCGTCCCTATTTTTCCTTTTGCCGATTTCGTTCTTTTTGTTTTTTTTTCAAGTTTGTGGTCTTGTTCTGACAATCTTTTTTCTGGCCTAGGCCGTGTTCTTGTTTTCCTTTATGTTTCCCCCTCTGCAGTTTTTATTAAAGGGAGCACCTGGTTTATCGTCATTTCGATAGTCTTTTTCTCGTTCTTATCATCGATTTCAATAATTCAATCACTTAGTCCAATTCTGACACTAATGTTACGAAAGGCTTTTCTTGGCATCTTAGGATAAGTGGAAGGTATCGATTTTACCAACAAAATTTATCAAACGAAAACCACAAAATTCAACAAACGCTATCGAAGCCTGCAACACAAAATCAATACAATACTAGATTACAAAAATCACAAAAATGTTACATTATTCACAAAACTGTATGTCTACTTGACCATCTTTATATATACAGTGTGTCCACTCAAGCACATCGGAAGCTTTTTTATTATCAATTTTACGAAAAAAATTTATTCTCCATAAAAGTTTCTGCTTCTTGAAAAAATAACATTAACACATTGCAACGGTTGTATATCGTTGGATAGCTCGTTGCTTTCCCTTTACAGTCTTAAAGCAAAATCTTAAATTGTAGGTACGATTAGTTTTCGAGATATCGTTGTTTAAAAGTAAGCACATTTTGAAAACAAGTAATTTTGACTATCTTTGAGTAGTAGTAGTAGTAGTAGTAGTAGTAGTAGTACTCTACTTACTGAACTCTCTATTGTTTAGGGTTTTCGAGAAAATCGAGTTTCAAGTTTTGTACAGAATTTCGACCAAATTTCAACTTTGAAGCTCAATATCCCGGAAACTTCACAAGTTACAAAAACCAATGTTGCAGGGCTTATAGAGAATTTAATAACTTTTTTAATGATGCATAATTGTAGGCAATTTTCTCAAATATCATTGACGGTTGAGCAACTATTCATGTCAAGCATGTCAAGATTCCAAAAAATGTTTAAAACCAAAAATTGGATTTTTTTTCTCATCGAAATTTTTAAATGTTACTGATGTTAGAGTTGTTTCTGACTGATTTGGACCCGGTCTATCGATTTAGAAAGACAGAATTGAGAAAAATCCTAAAATAAACATTTTCAGTTTTTGGTAAGTACACCGTTTTGAACTTTAATTTGCAAATCTTGAAACCCGAATATCTCGGTAACCAAGGGTTTACCGGGATAAAATTATCTTTGATTACAGCTCTCAATTGGTACTTTACTGAAATCTCTATCGTTTGCGGTTTTTGAGAAAATCGAGTTTCAAGTTTTGGACAAAATGTCGACTAAATTTCAACTTTGAAGTCTAATATCTCGGAAACTTCACAAGTTGCAGAAACCAATTTTGCAGGGCTTATAGAGAATACTCTTTCCAATGATGTATAATTGTAACCAAGTTTTCGAAAGTCCGTTGAAGATATGAGCAATTATTCATGAGCATGTAAAGAATTCAAAAGTCAAAAATGGGATTTTTTTTTTGGATTTTTTTTTCTCATAGAAATTTTCAAATGTAACTAATGTGAGAGTTGTTTCTGACTAATTTAGAATCGCTCTATCGATATAAAAAGTCAGAATTAAGAAAAATCCAAAAATAAAAATTTTCAGTTTATGGTACTTTTTCCTAATGGTACCTACTCCTTTTGAATTTCAATTTGCAAATCTTCAAACCTAAATATCTCGGTAACCAGAAGCGGTACCGGGACAAAATTATCTTTGGTGGTTCGCTGATATCGCTAGCATTTACGTTTTTTGAGGAAATCGAGTTTAAAGTTTCCGGCAAAATGTCGACTAAATATCAACTTTGAGTCTCAATATCTCAGAAACTTCACAAGTGACAGTAACTAATTTTGCACGGCTTATAGAGAATTTAATACTCTTTTTAATGGTGTATAATTGTAGGCAAATTTCTCAAATATCGTGGAAGATAATATGAGCAATTATTCATGAACACGTCAAGATTCCAAAAAATGTCCAGAGCCAAAAATTAGATTTCCTTTTTGGATTTTTTTTCTCATCGAAATTTTCAAATGTAACTGATGTTAGAGTTGTTTCTGACTAATTTGGACTCGCTCTATCGATTCAAATTGTCGAAAAAAACCACTTGAGACGGTAGAAAGGCCAACTTAAAACGTCTAAAAGACTTCCAAGATTGGAGAATAATTCAGGGTTTATACTTTAAATGAAATTACCAAAATATGTTGATATTGGCTACATACCGATAACAGAAAACAGCACTAAATTGTCAATATTTGAAACACAACAAGTATTAACAAACTATTGAGGAACTGATGCGATATAATAAGGAAGGACGTTAGTAAGACTGTCGTCGGCTGGACGTCCAAAACATGTCTTCAGTACGACGTTCTATTTTGGACAAAAATCGTATGAGACCAAAGTGGTCCAAAGTTGGACGTCCTATTGACGACACACTGGTCATTGTGGTAAGCTGGAGTGTCTCCAAACAGTGAAAATTCAAAAGATACTTGAGTCTACTTATCTACTCAATTTTCCCTAAATTTCTGCTTTCCAATTCTCTCAAATTTTTCTTCTAAATGTTCGTCTATTCCTGGCTCTTGAGTTATTTTTGTCGGAATGGCTCCAAACAAAGAAAATTCATGAAATAGTAAATAATAGCACTGATTCTGTCTACTCTATTAGAAGGGAAAAGGTGATGTTAGTTAAAGTCATTACAGCCTTTCTAGGCTTTTCCTCATTCACCTGCCTTGCGACCTGGTACCTTCCTTGGTTTCAGGCCTCTGGATTCCCTAGGGATTGACCTTATCCCTGGTTCAGTTTGTCGGCGGATTGATCAATCTCATTTAGGCAATCTTTCCGCTCTAAACTATCTGCGAAAGCTTAAGCTTTATAACAGAGAATACCTAGACAAACCCATTAAATCTGTGAAATAGTCGAATGATGGTTTTCTTCTCACAGATACTTCTGCTTTTTAGAAATTTTCCTTAAACTTCCTCTCTAGATTTCTGAATTTTCCCGTCTCAATTTTTGTCTATTCCCGGCTCTTGAATTTTTCCTTCTAAATATCTCTACATAAAGAAAATTCAAGAGCCTGGAATAGAAACAACATACGTAAGTCTATTTATCCACTCGATTTTCCCTAAATTTTTGCTTTTCAATTTTGAAAGTTTTCTGTCTAAATTTTTGTCTATTGCCGGCTCTTCAAGAGCCTTCTTAATACATATAAGAGCCGGTTTATTCACAGTGGCGACGCTATGGTTTCATGTAAGGGGAGGGGGGGGGCAGACTGGGCCAGAAAAATGTAGGGGCGGCCACTTGTTCTAATTGCTTTGCTTTGATACCCTATTTAGATCAATTTATATCAAAAAAGCTATGCATGAGGAGTAGGTATAGGTAATAAACATTAACTTACATTACTTACATTGAAACGTTACAAAAAAAAACATCAACGCGTTGTTTCTCTTTCCTTCTTTCTTTTTTGGAATAAAAAATGGAAAGTAGGTACCTACCCTACCCACACTATAGTTATTTATGTACTAAGGGGTGCAATTAGGGTGTTTGCGGCCCGCAACGTGGAAATTTGAGCACGAGGCGCAGCCGAGGGCTTTAACCACGCGAAAGGCCTCAAACACTATTTGCTCCTGAATTACTATGAAATTCCAGTAGTTAACTTTTAGTTATTTGTTAAAATAGTTTTATAATAACCGCCCTAAGTGAGTAGAGTAAGTAATTAGTCGCATGGGTGTAGTGCTGCTACTCGAATGTATTGCAGATTGCAGTCAACATTTTCTCATATTTTAGATGTAGGCTTTTTTCATGTGACTTTTGGCATGAGAGTAAGTTTTCAGGAGGGGCCGGTTAAATTTCAGTGGGGGCCCCGGCCCTCTCTGGACCCACCCTGGCGTCGCCACTTTTTATTCACTTTCTAATAAACTGTCAGGCAAGTTGTCAGGTAACGCCGAGGGGTCAACAACTCTGTAAAAATGTGTACACGTATTGCGAAAATGTCGGCATTTCGCGGTAAGTATTTCACGAAATTCAAAGTATTTCGGTTGTGGTAATTCGAACCTAGTTTTTCGTGGTATTGCCTAATACTATTCGAAGTATTTCGAGGTAATTTGAAGTATTTCAAGGTAATTCGAAGTATTTCGTGGTAAGCTGAGGTATTTCGATAGATATTTAAAAGTATTTTTTCATATACCAAGAATATTCAATTCCTATCACCTGAAATTGAAATATTATGGAATGAAAATTATAGTCCATCTTAGAACAGGCTAAATACAGGGTGGACTATAAGTCCGTTTACATTTCAATCGAAGCCGTTATTGAAATATTGAAAATTTCCGCTCCAGGTTGCAGCAGTGTCAAAATAGTCAAGGATCACCATTATGGATGAGTAATTTTCAAAAAATAAAATCCCTATCTGTTTACTTCCGTAAAAAATAAACATTTTTTCTCCCATTTATCTAGTTTTTTTATTATTGTTTGAAAAGAGAAAATACTTTTGGTCCACCCAGTATATTGACATAATTGGGATTTACTGCATATTAATTGGAACAAATGAAAATATACA